TTCCTTCCTTCCTCCCTCCCTTCCTCCCTCCCTCCCTTCCTTCCTTCTTTCCTTTCTTCCTTTTTTCCTTCCTTCTGAGACAGGGTCTTACTCTGTCATCTAGGCTGTAGTGCAGTGGTGCGATCACAGCTCACTGCAGCCTTGACCTCTCAGGCTCAAGCTATCTTCCCACCTCCCAGATATCTGGGACAACAGACATACACCACCATACCTGGCTAATTTTTTCATTTTTTGTAGAGACGAGGTCTCCCTATGTGGCCCAGGCTTCTCTTGAACCCCTGGATTCAAGTGATCTTTTCACCTGGGCCTCCCAAAGTACTGGGATTACAGGCATAAGCAGTCCCACCCAGCCTTTTAATGTATTTTCTTTAAATCAAATTAAACCCAAACTCAAATCCCAGACAAATAGAATATGGACACCTCACCCGATCCCTGTCCACCCCTGCCCTTAGGATAATGCAAAGGTTCTAGGGATGAATCTAGATTTTGAGGGAGAAAAATGCTCGAGGAGGCCTTTCTGCTCTTGGCCTACATGTTCACCTCTGAGATGCCCACAACCCCTACCTACGAGGCCCCACGGCCTGTGCCCAGCCTCCTGGGAGTGTCCATTCCTCCTCTGAGGTCCTGCCTTCTCTCCAGGATTTAGGAGACGCGGGAGGAAAGTCTCTGCCAGCCATGGTTTTCCCTTTTCATTGTGAAGAACTCAGTGTCTCTGATTTTGCCTGTGTCCCACCTCGCCTCTCCTCACCCTCTCCCATCAAACAATACAAATCTCCCTCAAAACTTAGGAGTACAAAACCTTACTTGCCTTTGGATAAAAGGAGAGAAAATACTGAGAGCACAATACAGATGGCTCTTTTTTTTTTCTTTTGGATAATTCCACAGCAGTAAAAATATATATAATATACAAATTAACACCACAGTAAATTAATCTACCACAAATAGTTAACCTTTCTTAGGAGCCTGCTGCATGGCAGGGGCTGTAGCAAGCCCTTCACCTATGAGGTAGGTATGATTACCATTCCTATTTTAGAGTCGGAGCAACCAGAGCTTAGAGGGGTCAAATATCTTACTTAATATTACAAGTAATAGAATCAAAACTCAAGCTCAAGAGCATCTGGCTGGAACGTCTGAGTTCTTTTCACTACACCATATAAGGGAAGCAATGCTTCCCCACTAGAGTCCAGAGCAGCAGTTTCTTTTTTCCTTTCTCTTCAGACAAAAATCAAAAGCAAAACACTCTACATAATTACAGATTCCGTATTAAGTAACACATCTAAAAAGAAATTTACTCTTAGTATCATAAAAAATGAAATCAGTTTTTACTTGTCTTTGTCACCTTCTAGAACTTTCCATTTGCATACTTAATTTTTACATATTTACCACAATATAATAGGTAGAATTTATAGTCCACATTTAAAATTGCTATTATATTACACTATGTCACAGTCTCATTATTTTAATACATTCTATATATTGTATATATTGTATGTAAATATATCATATTTATATATTTTTATTTCATACACACATCATTATGTTTCCATAGTCTTGGTACTCTTTTCCTTACAACATCCTTGCCCTCTCTCTGTGCCCACCCCTCCCCATAAACAGAAACAATTAGAGTCTAGTGTGTATTTTCCTATGCATTTCTCCATAGTCATACACCCATACAATAGCACAAGTATTGAGGAATTGACCATTATTTGTTTCCTATATTTCTTACAATACATAGTTTGATACACTTATATGCTCTTACAAAAGACATGTCTCAAGTTATTGTTGTACTTTCTTAACAATATACATTGCAAAATTCCTTCCAGGTCAATTGATATCACTTCAACTCTTTCTTGTTTAATAATACAATCTACTGTGTGGTTATTCTACAGTTTATTCAATCTTTCCTCTATGGATGGACATTTACGGTTCACTGCAGCCTCGACCTCCCAGGCTTAAACCATTCTCCCACCTCAGCCTCCCAAATAGTTGGACCACAGGCATGCACCACCACACCTGGCTAATTTTTGTATTTTTGATAGAAATAACGTTTCACTATGTTGCCCAGGCTGGTCTGGAACACCTGAGCTCAAGTGACCCACCTGCCTTGGCCTCCCAAAGTGCTGGGATTACAGGTGTGAGCCACCGTGCCAGGCCTCATATGTTTTTCTGTACTGGTGATTTTCTTTCTTTCTTTCTTTTTTTTTTTTTTGAGACAGAGTCTCCCTCTGTCGCCCAGGCTGGAGTGCAGTGGCTTGATTTCGGCTCACTGCAAGCTCTGCCTCCTGGGTTCTCGCCATTCTCCTGCCTCAGCCTCCCGAGGAGCTGGGACTACGGGCGCCCGCCACCACGCCCAGCTAATTTTTTTGTATTTTTAGTAGAGACGGGGTTTCACTGTGTTAGCCAAGGATGGTCTCCATCTGCTGACCTCGTGATCGGCCCTCCTCGGCCTCCCAAAGTGCTGGGATTACAGGCGTGAACCACCACGCCTGGCCCTGGTGCTTTTATTTCTATGAGATAGAGTCCCAGGAGTAGAATTTCTGGGTCGAAGGGTATATATTTGTTGTAATTTAATAGATACTGCCAATTGTCATGTTCATGCAAATACATACTTTTATTAACGGTGTAGGAGAGTGCAGGGTCCTAGTTCCAAATGCTAATCTGAAGACAACTCACCTCCGGAAACATCCATCTAGAGGTGTTGAAAGGGAACCAGGAATATGGATAGTTTCAAAGCTCGACATGTAGTTGTTTTGTTTGGTATGGTTTTTTTTGAGATGGAGTCTCGCTCTGTTGCCCAGGCTAACGTGCAGTGGTGTGATCTCTGCTCACTGCAACCTCTAGCCTCCCAGGTTCAAGCAATTCTCTTGCCTCAGCCTTCTGAGTAGCTGGGATTACAGGCTCCCACCACCACACCTGGCTAATTTTTGTATCTTTAGTAGAGACGGGTTTTCACCATGTTGGCCAGGTTGGTCTCAAACTCCTGACCTCAAGTGATCCACCCGCCTTGGCCTTGCAAAGTGCTGGGATTACAGGTGTGAGCCACTGCGGCCGGTCTCTACATGTTTTTTTTGTTTGTTTGTTTTTTGGTGTTTTTTTTTGAGTCTCTGTAGTTGCCCAGACTGGCGTGCAATGGTGGGATCTTGGCTTACTGCAACCTCTGCCTCCCGGATTCAAGTGATTCTCCTGCTTCAGCCTCCCGAGTAACTGGGACTACAGGCACGCGCCACCATGCCCGGCTAATTTTTTATTTTTAGTAGAGCCGGAGTTTCGCCATATTGGTCAGGCTGGTCTTCAACTCCTGACCTCAGGTGATCCGCCCGCCTCAGCCTTCCAAAGTGCTAGGATTACGGGTGAGAGCCACCGCACCCGGCCTCTACATGTAGTTCTAATAGGTAATAGGGTTTGGGAGTCACAGGTTCACTTCACTGTAGGGTTTATCAAGAGGGAGGAATAAGGGGCAGGGATCGGGAGAGCTGTTTGATGTGGATTCCCTTTTCCAAAGAGCCTTAAATTTAAACTTTTAACCTTATCTCCAAATAACGTTATCAGCAACAGAGATACCCAGACAGGACTGAGGAAAGAAAATATTACTCATTCAACCTCAAATGTACGCCTCATTACCCGTCCACCCCACTGATAATACTTAATTTTTTGTCGTTAGCACAATTACATGGAAAAACATTACCATCTGTGATGGGACATTTTAAGTTCTATTAAAACTATACATTATGTGTGACATACGGCCACCATTCAAACGGAAATTGGAGCAATTTTTTCAGTAATCCTGTATTTTTTTTTTTGTAAAAATACTATTGTTTATATCAAAATACTTCAATGATTCTAATTTTCCTGGGTAAAGAAACAAATTACTGCATGGTATGGGAGATTATTAAAAGTATTTATTTGCCAAAAGTAAAGTAAATTTATTTGCTAGAAGTAAATATTGAATGTTTTAGAAGCCCGTATTGTCAATTGCTCTTTTTTTTCTTCTCTTTTCTGTCTTTCTCTCTCCCCACTTCCCTCTTCTCCTCCCACTTCTTCCCGTCCGTTCCTCTCCCCTAAACTCCCACCCCCCGCCCCTCCCCGCCCCTTCCCACCGGTCTAGGAGGCTCTCAGAGCAGGTGGAGCCCCTTCGCTCTCTGAGAGGCTCTTCTTGTTCACCAACCAGCAGCCAGGCCCACCCAGTCTAGTGGTGGAGCTGCTGCAGTTCCACTATTGGCCACTAGGGGCCCTCTGCCTCCCTGGCCTAAGGGGAGAGGAAAAGAGCGTCTTTTCACTTTTCTAACACTCCTAGTAGAAATGAGTCTCATGGGTAGTTCCAAAAGAAAATTCTCAAATAAACCAGGGGAAAATAGAGCGAACCAAAGAAAAGAAGCTCCAAATAACAAACATAGTTTTCGACCTTAAGGTGACTAAAATCTACTCCTGGTTGTCTTGACTGACACAGCTAACTGGGCACAGCCTTCGTTGCTCTCTTTCCTCATCAGAGGAAGCACAAAGCACAGATAAAATTAAATTGACCGTGATACGAGGGTTAGAAGGAGCGTCACTGCCTCTCAAAACGTTGTTGTTTAGCTGCATCACCTGTCTTGACATGACCTTGGGGTCATTCTCCCAGCCCCTGCCCCTCCACCCTGGGGAGCTTTTCCTCTGCAACCATCGTGATCTCTGACTCTATCCACTGGTCCAAAGGCAAGATCTCCCAGGCTTCCTGCACCAGCCTGGGGGTTTCTTTAGCCCTCTTAGAGGCTCTGTGACTGTCCACACGGGAAGTTTGGTCTCTTCAACCCCTTCCCTTGGAGTATCTGACTCTTAATCCTCATCTCACTGTGGGGTCACGACCATCAACAAGCCTGGGCAGAGTCACGATCAAAATCCAGGTCTCTGGACTCAACCCATGGACTGATGTTTACACCACAATCTCTGCCTCAAATGCATGAGGTGACTAAAAAAAAAAAAAACAAAACGCAATGGCAGTAAGAATAGAAAGGTATGAATTTAATACACTAACAATAATAAAGGATCTTGAGTTCTAAAACTGAACAAATTAAGTGTGTAGAAAAATAAATACACGTATGCCTTCTCAGGTGGTTCAGTTTTTACAGAAAAAAAAAAAAAAAGATTTCCCCCAGTTTGCAGTGTACTCGTTTTAAAAAACTCTGTTTTTCATAACAGTGTACTTTCCAGGTACGCTGGGCTTAGATTCCATTGCTGGCCAACGTCAATGGCTAAAAGACAACACAAAATTAGCACAGTAGCAAACTGACAATTAATAATGGAGAGAAAGCCTGCTCAGGGTGAAATCATAAGGTGGGTGGGAAAGTGATGGTAACATTTCTCACTCTGTCTCCTATTCCACTGGGTCATTCTCTTAGCTGGTGGTCAACCAAGTTAGGAATTATTGCTTGGAGTTTAACACAGATATTTTTTGACTTTCTTTTCTGCTCAACATTCATCCACCATTGCAAGATTTATTCAAGAATACTTCCTAGATGGTGTTGAATACTTCCTATTACATTCCATTCCTGTGTGATACTAAGATTGATTGGTTCCCCATCAACTATTCACTTAATGGTTTTAGTATACATTGATCACTGTTGCCTGCAACAGTTATTTCATTAAGGGTTGCAAAATAGTGATTTAAAAATTCTATTCTTTGTGCATTTATTTGTAGAGTAGTCTTTGGTCACACCGAGTGCAATTCCTATTGGAAAAGTGGAATAAATGTTTGATTCCTTCCTTTTATTTACTAATTTTTCAGAGGGATGAATTGGTTGCCTAGTAATCAACAATGGTGACCAATTTTTTAAACTATAAACTCAAAGATTTTTCCATGTGGGTATTATCTTAGTCAGTTTTCTGTTACTATAACTTAATACCTGAGCCTGGGTAACTTATAAAGACAATGAATTGATTTCTTACAGTTATGGAGGCTGGGAAGTCCAAGGCCAAGAGGCTGCATCTTGGTGAGGGCATTCTTGCTGGCAGGGGCTCTCTGCAGAGTCCTGAGGTGGCACAGGGCATCACATGGTGAGGAGGGTGCATGAGAGAGAGCCAATCCAGACCCAGATTCTAAAACAGACCCACTTTTGTCATAACTAACTCACTCCCATGATAACTTATTAATCTATTAATCCATTAAATCCATGAATGAGTTAATCCATTCATGTGGGCAGAGTCCTTATGGCACAATCACCCCTTAAAGGCCTCACCTCTTAATACTGTTACATTAGGGATTAAGTTTCAACATGAGTTTTGGAGGATTCAAACATTGAAGCTTTAGCAGGTATGTTCCAATCCATTGCAATTCTTTTTTTAGAGATGAGGTCTCACTATAATGCCCAGGCTGCTCTCGAACTCCTGACCTCAATCCTTCTACTTCAGCCTTCCAAAGTACTGGGATTATAGGCATGAACCACTGTGCCTGGCTTATTATTCTTTTTTATGTTCAAATTGTCCCTTCAGATCAGCTCTTGTATCTTTTCAAAATGACCCCATTGCTCTTTGAAACCTCTTTTCTGGTACACAAAGATGTTCTAGATTCATTTTATATGCTTAAAAAAAAAAAAAAAAAAAGTCTATAAAGTCCAGACCTGGAATAAGCCATTTCTGCAAGGAGTCTTAGTTCCTCTTAATGTGAAGTGGTATTTTGAGACTACATCTGGTTGCTAGCAGCATTCATTGCTACAGGAGTGCTCACTCGTTCTGTATTCTCATTACTTCTTGCCCTTTGAGTGGTTAGGGTTGGCAAATGCAAATTATTCTTTGCAGGTAGGTTTTTACTTACCTATTCACTTTTATATTTGATCACTTTTTTCCTTGCTAAAAATCACAGGTCCCACAACATAAAGGTAATTACTTATTTGCTTTTTTCTGTGGTGAGCCAACTGCGGCCGGCTCTACATGTTTGTTTTTGATTTGTTGTCGTTTTTTGTGTTTTCTTTTTGAGTCATCTGTAGTTGCCAGACTGGCGTGCCACATCGGTGGGATCCTTGCTTACTGCAACCCTCTGCCTCCCGGATTCATGATATACCGACCTTCAAGCCTACCGAATAACTGAAACACACGAACAACAACCATGCCCCAGTAATTTTTTGATTTTAGTAGACGCCGGAGTTTCCGACATATTGGTCAGCCGGTTCAACTGCTGACCGTCAGTCACACACCACCCCCACCAGGATGGATAATTCCGCCAGCGCGCCTCAGCCTTCCAAAGTGCTAGGATTACGGGTGAGGCGCGCCACCCCGCGACCCCGCTCTACATTTAGTTCTACATAGGTAACTACGGGTTTGGCGAGTCACCAGTTCACTGTCAACTGCGTACGGGATTTCATCCAGAGGGCGAGGCAATCAGAGGGCCAGGGGTCGGGCCGGAAGAGCTGTTGCATGCTGGCAACACTCCCTTTTCAAGCTTAAATTTACAACTTTTTACACCTATCCTCCAAATAACGTTTATCAGCAACAGAGATACCCAGACCCAAGGACTGAGGAAACCGGAAAAATATTACTCATTCAACCTCAAATGTACCCTCAGTTACCATCCACCCCACTGATATCACTATAATTTTTTGGTCTTAGCCACAATTACATGGAAAAACACTTACCATCTGTGCATGGGATGCATTTTAAGTTCTAATGTAAAAACTAATACATTATGTGGTGACCATACGGCCCCATTTCAAGACGGAAATTGGGAAGCAATTTTCATCCACGTGAACTCCTGTATTTTTTTTTTTGGTAAAAATACTATTGTTCTATATCAAATACTTCAATGATTCTAATTTTTCCTTGGGTAACAGAACAATTGCTGCATGAAAACAAAAAACAGAAAAAAAAAAAAAAAAAATGAGACTTATTAAAAGGTATCGTACTGCCAAAGTAAGTAAAATTTATTTGCTAGCGAGAGAAATATTGAAGTTTTAGAACACGCCCCGTAGTTGTCATTGCTCCTTTTTTTCTTTCTTTTCTGTCTTTTTCTCTCACTATCCTCATTCCCTCCCACTTTCTTCCCGTCCGTTCCTCTCCTAAATCCCACGCCCCTCCCGCCTCCAACGCCCCTCCCACGCTTCCCACACCGGTCTAGGAGGCTCCTCAGGCAGTGGAGCCCCTTATCGCTCTCTGAGAGGCTCTTCTCTGTTCAACCCAACCAGCAGCCAGGGCACCCAGTCTGTGGTGGAGCTGCTGCAGGATGCGCGCGACATTGGGGCCACTAGGGCGCGCACTCCGGTCCTCTCCCTGGCGTCGAACAGGGGAGCGACCGGAGCAAAGAGCGTCTTTTTACTTTTCTAACACTCCTAGTAAAAAAACAATTGAGCTCTCAATAGGTAGATTCCAAAGAAAATGCTCCAAATAAGAGCCCAGGGGAAATAGAGCCACCAAAGACAAAGAAAGCTCCAATATAGCACAACATAGTTTTCGACCTTAAGGGACAAAATCTTGGCCAGGCTGATCTTAAACTCCTGACCTCAGGTGATCTGCCCGCCTCGGCCTCCCAAAGTGCTGGGATTACAGGCATGAACCACCGCACCCGGCCCCAAAATTTATTTTTTTAAAACTTCTTTAAAAATGATTTGTCTTTTTCTTTAGAGACAAGGTCTTGCTATCTTGGCTAAGCTGGTCTTGAACTCCTGGGCTCAAATGATCCTCCCACCTCAGCCTCCCAAAGTGCTGGGATTATAAGCATGACCCATTGTACCTGGCCTTGAAATTCTTTATATTGTTGTGGCAGAATTGGAAGATAGCTTGACAAAGATGTCGTTTCCTAATCCCCAGGACCTTTGAATATAATGAGATATCACTCCTAGAATTATGTTATTTGACACAGTTGACCTTACGACAGGGATATTATCCAGGTAGACCTGACCTATCACATGAATCCTTAAAAGCAAAGAGCTCTCTCTGGCTGAAAGGGGAATTAAGGGGAAGCCAGAGAGATCAGGGTATAAGAAGGATTTGACATGCCTTTGCTGACTTTGAAGATAAGGGGGCCACATGAGGAAGAATTGCAGGCAGCCTCTGGGAGCAGAGTGTGGCCCCACTGCCAGCCAGCAAAGAAATGGGGGTTTCCATCCCACAGTGGCAAGGAACTAAATTCTGCTGGCAGCCTGAACAAGCTTGGAAGTAGAGTCACCTCAAGAGCCTCCATGTAAGAGCTCAGATTAGCCAACACCTTCATTTTGGCATTCACATGAGCAGAAAACCCAACTGAACCTGCCTGGACTTCTCTCTAAAGTGTGAGATTAAAAAAAAGTGAGTGTTTCGCCAGGTGTATTGGCTCACACCTGTAATCCCAGCGACTCAAGAAGCTAAGGCAAGAGGATTGCTTGAGGCCAGGAGTTCAAGACCAGCCCAAACAACATAACAGAGTGTTTTAAGCTGCCAAATGTGTGGTAATCATTTTGCAGTGATAGAAAACTAATAAAAGTTCTTATGCCACCAACTTGATATTCATCCTAGTTTTTCTTCAATTTTTGGAGGTTTTTTCTTTTTTAACTTTTCACAAATTTGTAAAATACATACTTAGTTTCAAAGTCATACAGCAAGGAACCTTCCTAGAAACCTTGCTTTCTTTTTTATTCCTTCTGTTTGTTCCTTTCCCTTATTGGAAACCTTCTTTCTATTGTTTTTGGTTTGTTTTGTTTTTCCACTTTTAAGTGTAAGCAAATACCTATATATTTATTTTCTTTCCTTTTCTCACATAAAAGATAACATAGGCCAGGCATGGTGACTCACACCTGTAATCTCAGCACGTTGGTAGGCTGAGGAGGGTAGGTCATTTGAAGTCAGGAGTTCAAGACCAGCCTGGCCAACATGGTGAAAACCTGTCTCTACTAAAAATACAAAAATTAGCCAGGTGGTAGTGGGGTGTGCCTGTAATCCCAGTGACTCAGGTGACTGAGGCAGGGGAATCGCTTGAGCCTGGGAGATGGAGGTTGCAGTGAGCTGAGATCGCGCCACTGTACTCCAGTATGGGTGACAAAGTGAGACAATGTCTCAAAAAAAAAAAAAAAAAAAAAGATAACGTATAACAAATATTCCTTCACCTTGCTTTTTTTCACTTAACATCTTTGACGCCACTACATGTTAGTGTATAGAGATTTTTTTCATTCATTTGTAGCACTGAATCCTAACTTATACCTCTAATCCCCTATTGACAGACATTTGGGCATTTTAAATCTTCTGTAATTACAAATTTATCCCAAATATATAATGTTGCCTTTTATTGGCAACAGAAGATAAATGTGTACTTGAGGATTTTTTTTTTTAATAGATCAAAAGATAAATGTACTTGAGGATACTTTCTTTCCCTGACACAAAATATGTGGAATTTTTTCCAACACCAATCAATTCTCTGACACCAACTGGGTATCCAACAATTCAATTCAATTCCGACACTAACTCCCTGAGATAGTGCAGACTCCACAGATTAGGGACTCAGTCCCACACACTATCCCCACTTCAGGCACCACATGAATGTCCAGGGCCTCCAGTACTTCTGATCGACTTGGCTTCAGATCAGAAGTTCCCATGGCCAATAATTCCCTATCACAGCTCACAGAGCTCAGGAAAGCACTTTACTTACTTTGATTACTGGTTTATTACAAAGGATACAATTCAAGGGAAGCCAAATGGAAGAGATATGTAGGACAAGGCAGTGGTGCGAACTCAGCTCACTGCAACCTCCACCTCCCCGGTTCAAGTGATTCTCGTGCCTCAGCCTCCCATGTAGCTGGGACTACAAATGTGTGCCACCACGCTCGGCAAATTTTTGTATTTTTAGTGGGACAGGGTTTCGCCATGTTGGCCAGGCTGGTCTCGAACTCCTGGCCTCAAGTGATCCACCTGCCTCAGCCACCCAAAGTGCTGGGATTACAGGAGTGAACCACTGCACCCAGCCCAATAATGCTCATTTCAATATATCAGCCCTAGTGGATGACATCATGAAGTGGTCAGACACTTGAAATTATAGACAGGATCACTGCAAATGTGACATAGATATATAAATGTAGATCAAGTCACCTAACTTGTACTAGTAAATCTGATACCATGAGTGGCATTGTTAATAGTGAGGTGATTTCCAAAATACTGAACAACTCTTGGTAAGGTTTGAGTAAATCAAAGTGCAATCTTCCCTCAATTTACATAGTACTTGCATTCCTAGACAAATTGCTGTACAACAAAACCACGCCCCCCAAAAAAAAAAAAAAAACCCTCCATGCGTATATGTAAAACAGTTTGTTTCACACTTAGAAAAGTACAGACAGTTTTTATTGTCACGTGTGAGAGGAACTGTTCTTTTTGTGTAGGACTATTTCATGTACTGCAAGATGTCTGATATCCTGGGCCCCACCCAATAAATGCCTGGGGTGTCCTCTAATCATTGTGACAAACCCAAAATACCTTCCAAAATGTCATATTAAGAACCACTGAGTTAGATGCTTTCTGTTCCAACTAACAGAGAAATAAACCCATACTGATTTAATTAAAAAATATATATAGATAGATTGGCTCTTGTTTCTGATCAGTCCAGTGGCGCACCAGTTTCGGGGAAGTCGTCATCTGAGGTCAAATGGTTTTACCATTCTATCAGTGGAGGTGTACTGTAAACAAATAAATAGAAAAATGGATACATATTTTATAAATTTGGACACATTGTCTGTAGAAAAAGAAGACAGCTATGAGAGAGAGAGCAGAGATCAGAGAATTTCTTTTAGATTGGTCAGGGGCTGAGTGCAGTGGCTCACATCTATAATCCCAGCACTTTGGGAGGCCAAGGTGAAAGGATAGCTTGAGCCTAGGAGTTAAAGACAAGCCTGGGCAACATAGCAAGATCCCATCTCTAATCAAAAAAAGGAGAGATTGGTCAGGGAAGACTTCTCTGAGGAGGTGACATTTAAGCTGAGATGTGAAGGGCAGGAAGGGCTTGGCCTGTAAAGAGTGGGGGAAATAACATTCCATTTGGAACAAATAGCATACTTCACAATTTTGCTTTCACCAGTTTTATGTGGACTGCTAGACTGAAATGATATTTTACATAAAACATGTTTCATATATAAATTATTCAACACACATGTGAGGTTCAGTTGGACAAGGCCTCTCATTTTAGTTTATAAGTCTTTGTGGATGTCTCTAAAACAGAATGGTTTATTAAACTAATTTGGGAAAGGAGAATTAGTGTGTATCTTTCTCTTTTTCTAAAAAAAAAAATACATTCTTGCACAAAAGCAGTCACGTTTTTCACAATTATCACCTATACAATGATATACAGTGAAATAATTACTTTAATAACAATTTGTTTGTTTTCTCTGCATCTGACTGAATTCACTCATAGCTCAATATTAGCCCCAGAAGGGAAAAAAAAATCTTAAGACAGCAATTGAAAATGCATTTGTTGGCAGCAATTTCTATCCCTGAATGCACAGTAAGTTCTGAGCTTATGAGCTCAGAAAAAAGAAAAATCTTTGTGATAAATAATGTATTTGATAATGAGCAGCAGGAAAAAAAAATGTCTTCTGTTGAAGAGTTCAAAATGAAATAGAGTAAGTGTGGGAAAAGGTTGTTCAGTATGAAGGACATCTTTTGCATCATGAATGGGTATGGAGCCAAAACAGCCGTAACTGTTTATTTTTTACTCTCATTCTTGCCATGCCAGTCCGTGGCATATATTTTCAGACCTTTCGTGAATACCAATTTTCAAAAGGGTTTAGTTCTCCGAATTTATGACACTGGTGATTTAGTTACATGACCTCATTTGACCTTTTCAACTCTACAGATAGGAAGGTATGAGTATCCCCATTTTGTGTATGAATAAGCTGAGACTCAGGAAGGTTAACTCACTCTCTCAGGCTCATAGAGCTTAGCCGACAGCTGAGCCAGTGTAAATGAAATAAATAACAGGGAGTTCAAAATAAGTGTCTAAAATACCCTTAAGAACAGAAAGCTTTAAGCTCCTTCAAGGGTCTGGCTTGCCGGGTGACCTACACTCTAAGTGGAGTGTCAGTTTCCAGTTTTTGACCAAATAAAGCATTTATCCCATGGGAATATTAAGGCATCCATTTACTTTTTTCTCCCCATTATCCCATTTGTCCCCGGAGCAATGTGGGTGTTTGGTAGGTGCCAGACAGTAAATTACTGTTCTAAATGGTGCCTCAGTGGCCCAATAATATTAATAATAAGGAAGCATCTCCCACAGTGTCAATCTGTAGACAAGGGAATAATTAATGTATTTATCAAAGCAGATGGATTTCAGAGGAATGTGAATCCTGCTGTAAGCACAGCACCAGGGTTTTTTTGTCTTTTTTTTTTTTTTCTTTTGCTGAAGTTTAGTGAACTGGGCTTTATAACTTCTTACCTGATTATTTTGTTGCCCTGTTTGTCCTTCCTTCTTTCCTTTTTTAGCAGTTCTACTCTGTGCTTCAACTTTTCATCCCCTTATTAAGACTGCTGCATAGAAAACGTAGGAGGCTGGAGACAGGCAGGGAAAGTGGGGAGTGAGGAAGGCAAAACAAACATTCTGAGAAGGAACTGTTCCGTCCCCCGAGCTGACAGCGCCCGCTCTTTGTTTTGTGATGACTGCTCCCTGGCCTTTTGGCTCCGAGGAAGTGCAGGGCAGCAGTGTGAAGACCTGTTTACGTCCACTCCCCACTCCCCGGGGCGGATTCACTGTGGTATTCACAGAGCCCGGGACAGAGCCTGGCAGGACGCAGATGGATGCTCGTGCCCGTCGGCTGGATGAATGAAAGGTGAGCAGCAAAGGCGATACTAGGATCTTCCACGGCGGGACTGGAGGAGGAGAATGGGACTGTGCGGAGCCTGCGGGAAGAATCTGAAAGTGTCTGTGTGATGCAGAGAGACATGGAAAAGGGGACGTCCCAGCGGCTGGAACTGGGACGCAGGAACGGGAACAGGGAAGGCCTAAGTTAGGGACCACAAAGGTTTTCAGGAGAAAAGTGCAGCGAGCCGAGAGGGTAAGGGCGAGACAAAGAGCAGCAGCCGAGGCTGTTCGTGGGAAGAAATGGGAAAGAAGCAGCCGGGAGGGCGGGCGAGCTGACGGACGCGAAGGAAGGGGCGCGGGTGGGGAGGGGCGCCGGGAGCCGCGCGGGGCGGGGCGGTGCGGGGCCCGGGGAGGCGACTCGGGGCTTTGGGGGCCGGAGGGGCCCGGCAGGGCATGGGGAAGGCGGGGCGCGGGCGCCGCAAAGTTACTTGGCCTGCGTTCGCCCGGGTCCGCGTGCTGGTGGCTGGCCCGCGGGAGGAGCGAAGCGGGGCTCGGCGGGCTGAAACCCGAAACCTCCAGTCCCGGAGCGCGGCGGGGAGGAAGGAAGCGGCGGCGGCGGTGGCCGAGGCGGGGAGGCGGCTGGGCCGGGGCCTGAGCTGCCGCGGCAGCGGCTCCTCGGTGAGCACTCGGCGTGGGACGCGGTCGCGGACCCGGGCCCGGGCGGAGAGGGAGGTCGGGATGGAGCCGGGCTAAACTCATTGTGCGGGGTTGAGGGCTCAGGTTGCGGGCCGGGAAGGGTCCCCGCCCCCACGGCGCTCCCCTTCTCCTCGCGCCCCTCTCAGAGGTTGGGGCTGTCCTCTGGCCGCACTGCGCCTTGCTTTGGAGAGCTGGAGCTCTTTGTGGGAAGATGTTGGGGGCGCGCCCCTCCCCTGCGGCCTGGGGCTTCTGAGAGGCCCACCCCATTCTACTGGGTGCAGCCCGCCCCCGTTTCTCCGGCGCCGCCCGAGGCCCCCTACCCAGTCCGCTGGATGGGAGGGCGTAGGTGCGTGCCCGGGACTCGGCCGATGCGGGCCGCGCCCCCTGGGGCCAAGAGACTTCACGACCCGCTCAGGACAGAGGGTGTGGGGCGAGGCGGTCACGCCCCTCGGCTGGAATCCGTGAGGACCAGGTGAGCAACCTTCTCCCAGCCGGGACTCAGGGCGCTGTCTCCCCGAGCCTGGGCGGACGGCGGATGGCGCGCCCAGAAGTGGCCCGGCGCCGCGGGGTGGGCGGCTCTGCCTCTCAGATCTGCGGGAGGGAGATTCGGCTGGTTCTTGGAAAGGGGAGGACTTGACCAGCCCTTGGCGCCTTCTGGGCCAAGCTTAACCCCCGTGCAACCTTTGGACAAAGGCATATGGGATGAGAACGTCTGTGGGATAAGTGGGGTGTCTCCTGTGCTTCCCGGAGGTCTGCTTACCAGTAACCACACAGCTGCGCATTGGCATCGCTTTATATCACATCTTGGAGGCTATTTTTGCTCGTTATTGTACCTTTCATCCCTTTTGCAAAGTGCTTTCAAGAGCAGGTCATTTGATCCTCCTCCCTGTGAAGCCGCGAGGAGGTGTGTGGTTTTGGAGGGAAAGAACCTCAGTTCCTTGATTGTCCAGTGGAGACACTGATAACCTCAGGTGAGCCTGTCTCAGCATGCTAGGGGCTGGGGGAGGATGGCCATCGTTGTGGCTCCTCCGTGGAGCCAGGCGTGGATTCAGCCCGGCCTCTTCTCCCCTAGTGACCTGGACCTCCAGATGAGTTCTGGAGAGCTACTGCTTCGGGGGAATAGGCGGTTTTCCCTTGTAATCTATTTTACTGCAGCTACTGGGAGCAAGTGAAGAGAGGCATTTTTCAGGCCCTCAGGGCAGAAGGAGGAGGTGGGAGGGACCTCAGGTCACAGAGAAAGAGGCTCTTCAACTGTAACTGGAATCCATGGCACCCATTTCTGTTACTTCTTCCAGAGCACCTCTCCCGGTCCTCCTACACACCTGTCTTATTTTATACTTGTCAGGTGCTTACAAGCACTTTTCATATATGTGTGTTCCTTCACACAACAGCCTTGTGAAGCTCTGCTAGCCCATTTGATAGGTGAGGAAACTGAGGCTCAGGAGAGATGAAGCATTCTTGCCCAGCTAAGTAAGCAGCCCAGATTGAACTCAGATCTTTTGCCTTGGTAATGCTTTTCACGTGGTTTCCTGATGGCACACAGGTGGGTCCTTTAACTCAGGGCTTCTCCCTGCCCTGTAGCTCCACCACCATAACATCAAGAATAGAGATCCCTCATTAAGAGGCCTGCTTGACATTTTGGAAGTAAATCCAAGGCCGCAACGATATCCAAACCGTTCTCTTTGTGTTGCAGCCTGGTGCACTGGGAGTCCTCTGAGAGGGGAAGGAGCACTGTGTGGTCAGAGGGCTGTGAGCTCTCTGTTTGGGTTCCGAGAAAGACAGAATGGGCTGAACTGGAGCTGACCTAAATGTCAGCAAGAGGAGGTACAGTTCTGTGGTGTAAACTCCACTGCCAGTCGGGACCAGTCAGGAAGCCTGAGTGCAGGAGGCTGGTGGACAGGAGGGCTGAGTGGGAGCTGTGTGCTGCTAAGCCTGTCTCCAGTAAGGGGGCAGCTGCAGGTGCGGTAGGGCTCCATCACATGGTTGCCTGATCTTAGTTTTGGGGGAAGCTGTAAATTTTTACGGAAAAAAAGCTTCATATGTTTTTAAAGATAGCAACTGATTCAAAACATTTTTTTAAATGTGCATGCAGTTTAACCAAATTATGTGTGCAGGCTGCTTGTGACCTGCAGACTGCCCTTTTGCTGCGTCTTCTGTGTGAGACCTTTGGAAGCTCTGACTGTCATTCTGAGATGCAGTAAAGCATGACAGCAGGGGAGAAATGGTGTCTTCTTGCTGTTTTTGCATAAGAACAAAAAACATCAACAGAACTAGAGATAGCTATCAATGCTACCTGGAGTTTGGAGGAGGGATTGACTTTATGACTCCATACTTCATTCATTCACCCAGTACTCATCTATGATTCTGTTTCTGCACCAAGAGAAAAGGCTTACAACTAGTTTTAATCTATTTCCTCGCACATTTTATGTGCTCAGCAGGGGAGAGGACGGCATTCATGGCAAATATGTTTAGGGAGTGCTGGAGCATGAAAGAATTTGCAGTTGGCCAGGGGTAAAACATGAGGAGGTATATTTCAATTTTATTTTGGTTTGTGTTTGTTTTATACTCAAGCAATGGGTGAGAGAACACTGTGTTAAGAGCACGATCTGAAGTCAGCCTACCTCCCAGCCCTGCCCCTTATAAACTTGTGACCTTAGGTAAATAATGTAAAGCATTCATGGAATATAGTAATTTTTCAAAACTAAGAGCTGTAAAATATTTTTAAAACATAGTCACATATAGGAAAATAAATTAAATTCCCTTCCACCTCTTCTCTATTCCTTCTCCCCACCTTTGAGATAATCACTGTAAATGTCTATCTTTTTAGGTCTTTTTCAATGTGCTTAATACGCTCACCAAGCCTGGAAACATAGGCGAATATATAGTTTATTGATATTATATAAAACATGATAAAATAGTATTGTCTACATTTCTGACTTTAGGACCAACCTGAATATATTGAATATACTTGAAAAAATACATAAATGAAGCTGGGCATGGTGGTGTACACCTGTAGTCCCAGTTACTTGGTAGGCTAAGGTGGGAGGATTGCTTGAGCCTGAGAGTTCAAGTCCAGCATGGACAACATAGTAAGACTCTGTCTGTTAAAAAAAGAAAAACATAAATGGGGTTATATAATAATGCTCTGTGGTTTATTTTTTTGATTTAACAGTGTGACTTAGAAGTCATTCAGTAACAATAACAGATACATTGTACTTCACTCTTTTTAATAATAACATACTATTTCATAGTGTTGGTTTCCTATAAATTATTTAAACATTCCCCTATTGATGGACTCTTAGATTGGCTTCCAACTTAATCTAGATTTTCTGTGTATCTTTATCTGTGTACATGTACAATATTTCTGGGTAAAAATTGTTCCTGGATGTGAGATTTGTGGATCAAAGGAAATGTACATTTTAAGTGGTTATTTACGCAGAGTTCTCTTTGTTTCTTTAGGTCTGGAAGATTGTGTAGAAAAAGAGACTGAATTATTTACTGTATTTATTTAAGGTTATTTGTTTGAGAGTAAGTAGTGAATTGGAAAGGTATAGCATTCAAAAGTTATAAAAGGCAACATCTCCCTCCCACTCCTCTTTCCTAGCCCTCTTTTTCCTTTTTTGGATATAACTAATTTTACCAGTTTTTGTGCATTCTTTCAGAAATAGTCCATGCACCTGCAAGCAAATAAAATGTACCTTCTCGGCTGGGCGCAGTGGCTCATGCCTGTATGTAATCCCAGCATTTTGGGAGGCTGAGGCAGCAGATCATCTGAGGTCAGGAATTCGAGACCAGCCTGACCAATAAGGAGAATGGCTTGAACCCGGGAGGTGGTCGTTGCAGTGAGCCGAGACCGTGCCATTGCACTCCATCCTGGGCAACAAGAGCAAAGCTCCATCTTAAAAAACAATCAAACAACCAACCACAACACAAACAAACCCAAAAATGTACCTTCTGTTTTCTCTCTTTCAGAAATAAATATGATAGCATATTATATGCCCTGTTCTACATAGGGCATTAGAAAAG